TTGTACAGATGAATTCTGGGTAGATTTGGGCGCGCCTCAGAATTGTAGTGTGAGCAGTATCGGAGCGAAATTGGAGCGAGACAAAGCGACCGCTCCAGCCTTAATTAGAAAACCCGCTCTGACCAAATTCCGCTCCTCGCTCACGCTCCGCTCCGCTCACATGCTCTGATGCTGACCATACATGACTCACTGAAGTGGTGATGTAATGCTACACCAATAAGTTTGCTAATTTGCTGAGAGCTGACAGCTTGTCCCACCACAGATGATTCATTGTGTGACAGCAAGTCCGTGTCTTCCCATGATGGCTAAACCATAGATGAGTCTCTCTGCCAACTGCTGTTACCAGTAATAGCTTCATCATCTTGCTGAAATCGAATATAAACCCCCTGTAGAAACATGACTGTGACAAACAGTAAGCAAATTAAGTATGTAGATTATATTTGCATGCAAATTTCTTAATTTAAGATTTCCATCCTACTTCCAAGATGGGTGAGAAAGAGTGATGTTACTCATTGATGTCAAGAATGCTATAAAAACACATGGAAAAATACACCTTCATGCTACTGAAAAAAAGTCAATGAAGTATTTATTAATAAATTCTTTTTTTTTCTAGTTGGAAGAAAGTTGGATTTCATGTAAATACAGACAAATGATTGCACTATGTACCATACTTCCATAGCAAGTACTTCAAAAGGGAATTTATGGTTATTCAGTTAGATATTTCATGCTTAAGCACAACTGTTCCCCTTTACTCTAGTAACCCTGGCATTATATGTACGGTTCAGGTCAATCTAACTACTTCCTAGAAGTTCCTGGAAGTCAGCACTCATAAGGATTAGGGCCTGAAAGCATATGTAGGAAATTGCTCACCACAGATCTGTAATACCGAAAATAAATGGAAGGATTTTCATGGCATATTTTATTGACAAGGGTTGCCATGACATTGGAGGGACGAAGAGGAAGAGATAAAGAGAGTGATCAGCGACGACCCTGTAGGGGACGCACACACACATCGTTGCTTTTTCAAAAGCCAGTGGTGATTGACATAGAGAGGTCCAATAAAGGTGGAATGTCTATTCTGAAGTGACGAGCCTGACATAAGGGCACTGTGGGTGCAAAGTGTTGCCCATTAATCTCTGTCCTGCTGGGCAAGTGTCGTTGCCAACAGCACAACTGAAGACAGAAAAATTGGACTGAGGACAGCTCCTGAACAGCCCTGCGTTGCTTCAGCAACTGGAGTGGACTTTTTCACTTTCATGGTGAAAAATGTTTCACTTCAAAGTATTAACTGTAAAGTATTACAGTAAAAGTTCCTGTATCTAGCAATGTTGGAACCAAGGCACCAGCACATGGTTGAATTTTCCAGACTGTTGAATGTTACTCTTGAAAAACATTCAATTTTAATGCATTTCAGTTCTTAGACTGCAAGGTGAACAATAGAGGACCAAGCATCTGCAGGAACACATATTTGGTTTGTGCAATGCTTTTCTTTGTTATTTTTAGTTACTTTAGTGTAAATTTGTAATAGAATAGTGCTATTACTTGTTTTTTTAAATGTTATTTTTAACCTAATACTAATATTTTAGAATTATATAGAAATAGTTTTTACTGTGCTGTTTTATACGCTACGAAAAGGTCAATGTACCATTAATATTGCCAAACAACCAATTAAAGAATGATGGGTAGTAATTTTCAGCATCACATAGTGTTTGATGTCCAGTTACCTGGCTGCTAGAGAGACACGTGCAGGGGCGGATTGGCCATCTGGCAATTCTGGCAAATGCCAGAAGGGCCGGACCATTTTTTAAATGTGGGCCGGTCAGTTTTTTTTTTTTAAATATGTATTGTTTTTACATGCAGGCAGCTTTTATCTCTTGCAAGATGTGAATATTATGATGATGATGATGATAATAGTAATAATAGTAATAATAAATGTTAAGCATTTGGCCCAATCGGCGACAGCCGGCTGGTTTCGAGATGGGCCGACCCAATAGTACTGTAGGGTCACCGGGGCCCCACCCTGGAGCCAGGCCTGGGGGAGGGGCCCGTTGGCGAGCGCCTGGTGGACAGCCCGAAAGAGGCACGCGGGACTGTCCCCAGGTGGGCCCACCT